AGACGCTCCTCAGCCAGCTGGACAAAGCCTGTCACATGCCCGCGTTGCAGGACACGCACCGAGCTCAGGGGGCTGCGGCAGGCCAGAGGCTGGCCCAGGGAGTCTGGATTCCTACCTGCAGGAAAGCTGCCAAGCTGCTTTTACAGCTGTGCCCGTGGCCCATGCGCTGCTTTTCCGCTCGCTCAGTTTTCAGCTTGGTCGGTGGTGGAGACCTACAGCATCTCTGCCCCACAGCTGTGCCCGCTTCAGCGCTGCTCACAGAAAAACAAACAGCAAAACCTCCTGGAGGTGTGATAGAAACTGTGCTTCAAAAGATTTATTACATATATTTGTACATATTTTACATGAATGGAATGTTAAACATACAACCTAAAAATCAATAAAAAAATATTTTCATTCATGATTATGTACTGGCAAGACCGCCGGAAAAAAAAAAAGTACCTTAGAACAACATAAGTCAACTTGCAATCATACTGCTCAATTAAAAAAAAGAAAAATTACAAACATGTTTTTTACATCAGACATCGCAAATTACATTCTGATTTCTGCTTAAAGGGTAACGAAGGAAGACGTCTTGCCATTACCACTACACGTGAATGTAGCATTTCCTACGCGATCACGGAGCTCCAGCTTGGTGAGCGGGGTTAGTTCTGTGGAAAGAGGCATATAAAAAAGGGGAATCGCGCCGCACTCTCTGCCCGCAGGTACGTCTGCTAACAGAGCCCAGGCGACTTTCTCAATCAAATGATAAGGTTAATGCTGGACCACCACTTGGTAAATGTGATGCTGCAGCTTTTAAAATTAAGTAGTTCATGAAAAGGTCCCCTCAGCGCCTAAGCTGCCTCCTTTCTTCCTCCAAAGTTACAGTACTTTGGCAATATCAGCTAGAAGAGATTTTTTTTACTGTACAATAACGAATACTTGAGCTTCATCTCAACACGTGCAGGAAGAACAGAGTCATGCTTTGATGCCTCTTCCTGCTGCATTTCAAACCTCGAGAGCCCATTTATGCTGAGAAGCGTTTACTAGTAAAAATAACAAATTAGCAAAAGAGAAGAAGAAAGGACAGACCTGAGGGAAACAAGAGCAACAGGATTCAGCAACAGATTAGGTACTTGCAACGTCGCGTTCCTTACATTTGAAACTCTGCCAGAATCGAGCAAATCCTACTTATCATTGCAAAATCTTTGCCAGAGCACACCCAAGGGCAAAAGTCTCTCCAACAAACATAGGCAGATTAAAAGCTGCCAGAAAGATCAGCGAGTAGTGGGCTTGCTGCCTGCTAGTTACTCTACATTGGCAACTTACTAGGTCGGAGGCAGAGCCAGGCGCAGTCTTCAGGTGCAGGATAATCCTACGCTAGTTGAGCTGAGCAGACCTTGAGCGATTAGCAGGGCCCCACAACTAGGTCACGCTGCAGCGTGTCCCGTCACCAGCTGCGCGGCGCTCACGGAGAGCTGCCCTTACACAGGGTTGCGCAGCGGCTGGCAGCGCAGGCCCAAGCGCGGGAGAGCTCTCGGGGCACAACCAATGCAACCGGGACCGCTCTGTCTCTACGGGCTACACAGTCTTCAGCCTGATTTTAGGAGCAAACGGTGCTTCTGGTCATTTATACGGAAAAAACACTGCAGAAGTTTCACACTTAGGAAGCAGAAACTGGCCACGGTTCTGCTGCAAATTTCTCACATGGAGTATTTTGGATGACAAAAATAAGCGGGTACAAGCTGATGCCACTGCCACAGGAACAAGAAAAAAAAAATAAAAAAAACAAAAGCACTTGGCTGGGTGGTAGCAAAAGAAGCCCTCCTCTTCCAACTGCATTGCCACACTTTACTCTTAAACATGCCAATGGAAAGATTAAGGGCACAAAGCCCTAGAAAAGCATCGTTTCTTCAGATAGGGAAAAGGGAAGAAACTGATAATAAAGTAAGTTTGAAGCTTTGAGAGGTGAAAACCGAATCTCGGAACACAGCACGGATGGGAAAACACAAGCTCACTTCCCGCCCCCCGACAAAGGTAAGTTGGAAGATCCCGTAGTGGCATTTCTGCATTCCAGGATACTTGGTAGTCTCTTCCCAGGAAACTCCACTGTACATCAGAATCAGCAGATAGATACAAAACCGCAACACCAAATTTACACACAAATATTCTTTTTTTTTTTTCCTATGCAACAAAGCAGCTAAAATTCACAAAAACTCAGAGAGATCATGGCCTGTGCCAGAACCATTGTAGGCCTTGTTGCTGTACACTGAGAGATAGCAAGAATATTCAAATGCCAAGTTCCCTCGTTTTGGTGCAACACATTAACAAATGGAGTGAGTTTCTGAAGCCCTCAAATGGAAAAGAAGGCATATTAAAAATGTCCATAAATACATCCCATGTGTATTAGACATTATCCACCTATAAACACCAAAGACCCATATTTCTGACTAAGAATTATCTTTTCCACATTTGCTGAGATTTTAGTCTTCTGGGAGTCAGGTTTACCAGCTCTCCAGCCTTTCAGCAAAAATTTAATTAAAAAGCCAGTATTCCTAACATTAAGAACTAGGATAAATATAGAAATCTCAAGACTGTTTAAGTCATAAAACCCCCTTTATATCATAAAGAGGGGGAGCAGAGAGAGCAAAAAGGTCACAAGTATCCACCCACATCTTTGTACTTTACCTACAAATTTTCCATTTAAAAATACTGCAGGACACTTATCCTTGAATATGAAAATTGAATACAAACAAGACCATCTATCTTACATTTTACCTTCCCAAAAATAAAATACTGCAAAGCTTGCAGTGTGCTTTGTAGTTTTCCAATGTCCCATTGAGCCCACCATCTAATGCACATGCTGAAAGAAAATTAGCTGACTACTTCAAAAGAAACACATTATTATAGATGTGCTGATTTATAAAATACAGGATAATCAGTGCCCTGTACTGACAGTAGCATGGCTCTCTTGGTATTGTATGGAGTATGGTTATATACAACCCAAATCATAGCCACCTCCTCTATTAACTTTAGAAAAAACAATTGCTACTCAAGATACACAGTTACGTTACAAGCTCAGAAAAACCTGACATTTCAAGACAGTGTCGTGTCTACTCTTCCCCTTCTGGCAAGCAGCATGTTAATGGCAGACCTGAGTATGGAAATCGCTTCACACCCTCACATACTTTGAGAAGATATAGCTCAGATGACACAAAATATTCTGAAACAACACAGAATTGGCAATCTCAATATATTTACAGGCAAAGAAGCATATCGCACCCTAATTTAACTTATTGCTTCTTGTGGACAAGCGTGGTGTTCCTCAACTGCAACACAGGACTCGTTTGCTGTTTTTCCCTCCTTTTGAAGAACAGGGATTCAGGATCACCGTGAGGATGCTTTTAAAATGAAGGTGTTGCCCACAACTAGAGCTACGGGTACAGTGAGTTCATCTGCAACGGAGCAACAGCGCTGGTGACGGAAAGCTCAACGCATGTGAATCTCCACAGGAGTTTTCACACCTGAGCACCAGCCTGACACATCCAGGGTCGCCGTAGGCTTGGTCCATATTACAGGCTGTGATACCAGCCAACCTTCCGTGGGCTCTGACAGTGGATTAGCGTGTACCAAGAATGCTTAACTGGGGTCTAAGGCTGCCGTCGTATCACACAGCCCAGAGGACAGCTGCTCAACCGGGCCAGCTCTTGCCCACAGGAGCGCAGGTGAGAGCAACTGCTAGTGGCACTTTCTCCCCACGCTGGCCCCAGCACAGGCCAGTGGCGATGACTCTTGGGTCTGAGTCATCTACTTGCATCTGACTCCAGAAAAACTGAGGTTTAAAACAAACAAACAAACAAAAAAAACCCCCAAACCCAGCAAATGTACTAAAATATGGACTACTGAAACTGAGTTTAAGTTGTAAACAGGTTATGTTCATAAATATTTATCTACTTAGTCCCCAAGCCAAAGACTATCTACGACCTTGGCACATGGGAGACCAAAGCGCTAACTTACCTCCTTTACATACTACAGATCAGTTCCTGTAGGCATGAAGCCAACAGTAAACATCAAATCAATGCAAATGCTTTACTTCCAGAAGATAGAAAGAATTCAAAACATTGGAAAAGTGGCCCTTCAGGCAACATCACTATTAAAATACTAGAGGTGCTGTAATATTTCCCCCTTAACAATAATACAAGGCAACACAATGATACTCTGCTAAAAAAACAAGGAACCCATGGAGGAAAATACTGTACCTTTGATATGACTAGACAAGTGAAAGCACAACAAAAGGCTTCTGCTCCCACTGAAAAAGGGAACCCAGTAGGGCCCCATAGTTATAGGTTCAGCTGAAACCAGTTATGCAAGCCAAAAAAATGCAGAAACTGCACCATTGATGTTGACTGTTATCTAGATTGGACTCCCTTCACATTTGCAGCACAACAAAGGCATTTCACAGAACAACATTCAGGGAAAAATGTTATCCAGGCAAGGATCACTCTGCAGGCAAGACAGGAGTCTAGTAACATGCAATGCACTTGTTTTCCTGGATAGCAGCAGATGCTGCTGTTCTCTGCCCTTTTTGATATGAATCACAGTAGCAACAGAGAGAAAGATGTGCTTAAACAAAAAAGGAAAGCAGAATTATGTATGCACAAGAAAGACGTTTAAAGTGTTGTGCGATTTATTTTAATTGCTGAAACCACCAAAACGTCTGCCACTAATAAATATTCATAAACTCTTCCCTGTACTGTAAATTTTAGAAACTATGAATTAATTCTTGATATAAAAAGTATGCTTCTAAGCCCTGATATTTGTTCCAGTTTTTTGTCCTGTTCTTTTTCCTCTTTTTGGACTCCAGTGCTTTATGGGAACTACTACTTGTCCACAGTTTCACCTGATGTACTCCTTCTACATTTCCTGGAGCCCTGGTTATATCAATATAACATAGTAAAATAATAATAAATTAAACAAATGCAGATGCCTTAAAAAAAAAAAAAAAAACAAGCCACACTGGCAAATGCCAGTCTTCACATGAAGAGACCAATGATTAAGATGCAAACTACTACAGATCCTGCCATGAAAAAAAATACTAAAACAACAAAAAACGCTTGCACGTAAGTATTTTAAAAATTAAATCCAAATCCCACCTCAATGTTACCTCACCTATGCCTACAAAAACCACTTGCTGTGCCCACATTTGCAGTTATTCATTTATACCTCAGGAGGCAGCCTGGAGATGAGAGTAGTACAATAAAATAATTACCTGAAACAGTTTCTTAAAAAAATACCCGTTAAACAAATTACCTTAACTGGCAGCACTTAAAATTCGTAATTCTTCTTTTTTTTTCCTATTAAAAAAAAAATTGCATAGCTGTAAGATTTTGCTTTGCTGCATTTCTTTTTATCGGTTTTACTCACAAGCAGTAAAAGAGAAGTTTTAGTTACTTAAATAGCAATACAACGTACAGATTTCAACAATCCCTACAGCTAGATCAATATAAATTAGTTACCTGTCTTGGTTTTACTCTTTGGACTGCATTGTGACAAAGGTTCAGTTACAAAACTTGGAAATATAGTATTCCTACGCAGAGAAGTTTATGTTTGCTGTTCTCAAAAAAAGTGAAGAACATACAAGAGGGTGTGATTTCAGTAAATAAGGTCACACTGTTAGGTTATGTTATATTCAGTTCACCATTTACTCTTCTTGAGCCAGTAAGAAGGTGAAAATGTTCCCTCTCAAACCGGGGCCGTCCTCCTGCATGGGTCTCAGACCGCGCGTATCGAACATCTCCGCTGCCCCGCGTGGCGCTGGGAAACGTGTCCAATAATCTGCTTCTTCACAGAGCCAGAAGTTAGGCTGAAATGAGGAACTTTGGCCTTCCAGTACAAAATAGCAACAGTAATGTCTGTGGGGAGTAGATTGTTACAGAATGTGCAGCATTTTCAAAATCCCTGTGTGTCCTTTGCATGAGTGTTTGGTATCTGAGCACTACTGGCAAGTAGCTGGGCTCCGCAACGCTTATCCCGTGTCCCTGTCCATATTTGCCTTTTGCAGCCACAACGAACCGTGAGTCTCAAGCCAGGCGCGCTGTGTTCAGCGAGGGAACCTCCATCTCCTACGTCGTCCGATCAGTGGAAGCAGCTGTTGAAAGAGCAGCAGACAACGTGCCATCATTTCAGCTATTTCAGTGCATAACACAGAGAAACAGCACGACAATGAGCATCGTGTTTTCCTTCCCCCTTTCCCTAAGTCCTCAATTATCGCGATCTCTGCTGCGATAAAAAGGCAAATTGGTTTTAACATGAGGTTAGACACCTATGAGTATATTTACCGAGACAAACGTGTTTATAAGCAGCATATGGGCTTCTTCCACAAATCAGTGGCTGCATACATAAAGGCAGACATTTATTTATTTATTTATTTATTTAGGCTAACACCACTCCGGGATTAAAATAGTTCCCTTGGAGCAGGCTATTTTCCTCTAGGCTTTGTCTGCTGCTCCTGCAACAGTCATATCCGGTATCACTGCAATGTGACCCACAGACTCACGAAGCAAAATCAAACAAATTAACAAACAAATGCTAATGATGAAGCTTTCTTTTTTCTGAAACTCAACCCACAAAAAACACAAGCTCCGCCTAATAGCAAGGAATTTAGATAGCTCGATTGCTATAAGAATTATTATGACTGCTGGTGTGTTTTGCAATGTTTGGGGCCAATAGTTTAATGCTAGATAAAGATTTAAAACTCGGCAACTAGCAGAATAAACCTATCTTTTAAACCTTTGACACTGATTGCAGATCTGAAATCATTAACACAAAATATAAGATGGAAAAATGTGACGCCATGGAATGGGATGGGTAGGCTCACATTAGTACTTTTCATTTTGGAGTGCATTAACATGCAAGTGGTTTTGAAAACACATAGTTTAAACTTTTCATAAGATTCCAAAACTTTCTGTCGGCAATAAATGCCAGTGTTTATGTAACAATCCAAAGGTATGTGATTATATTAATTTTGCTTCATTTCATTTAAAGAAATAATTTTTAAAAGTTAACGCTATAGCTTCAATATAACTTCAATATAATGCTATAATTTCAATATTTGCTCATTAATATTGCAATTATGACACAAAGTAGTAGACTCACTTTTTTTATATAAAAAGGTTATTTAAGATAATCAAAATAATTATTCTAGAAATGTACTTGCCTAAAAATATTACCTAAAAACATGAATCTTCTCTTAATCCGACGGATGCTCAGGGCAAGATCTATTTACTTCAAACCATTCATCTATGCAGCTGTTGGACGAAAGACAAAAATGAAAAGAATAGCTGGATGAATCTCTTGGTAACATTTAGCAGTAAGATAAGCATATTAATGGATTCGGAATTGTTTAAATGCACAGGATTTTATGCTACACAAAAAAAAATACAGGCACACACACACTACACCTCTTTAAATATTCACACACAAGCAGAAAAGAATAAATTTCAGTATTCATGAAAATGTGATGACTCTGAGCCAGAGTAGTATATGGGTATTAAATACCGTTGAACAACTAATTATCTTTGGTGTTAATATTTCTTTTAAGCAGCCATTTTGCAAATTCCTATCCATATTTTACACAGAGTTTACTTGACTGCTGACACCATTATCTCACTTACATCTTTTGTTTTAACTACAGGAAGTAGAACATTAAACACAAGTGAAAACAAACATGAACCAAGTTTAAGAAGTGAGTAGATTTTTTTCCCAGTCTACCAGGATTTGGGAAAACGTTTATTATATTAGCACACAAAACCTAAGATCCGTAGCTGACATTTGCTGTATCCCCACAGAGGTGATCACTGGTTTTTTTCCTGGGAGGGTTTTCATGCAAATGCGAGAGACTTCAGATACGTTAGTGGAGACAGAAAAAATGACATATTTTTAAATTCTTTTATTTATTTTCTAAATATAAGTGAGTCATTTTTAGTGCTTCTTTAAGAACCACTCAGAAGTGATACGCAATAAATACAACCTTCCAGAATTGCACACGCAGTGTGAGGAATACTTGCCCTTTATGATATATGCAGAGGCAAGGCAGCCGTGCTATAGTATCTCCTTGCTGCAGCTCTTCCAGGCATATTGCACACTCCCCAGCATCTTTACTCAGCACGTCCTCTGCAGAGAGAGAACAAAGACACATAGTTAGAAAGCACATCACTAAAAGCCCAGAGTTCTTTATGGAGAACCTCATGGATGATGCAGAAGATGCCTCTTGTCCTACAGAAAGCCTTGTCACGGTCGGCTCGCTCACACTTGTGCTGGGTGACTCAACGTTCCTCATAGGAGACATCTCAACAGATTAAAATATGGTTGGCACTCAGTCTGTTGCCTGAACAGAGCTGTAGCTCCAAATGAAATCCTGTAGGAACTCACCTATTCACAGGATCTGCGGACAAGCTGGGTAACCCTAATCAATAGCCAGTAGCTCTCTGAACCTATTTGAATTAATTAATTAATTTGAATTAATTAATAACCTCTCTTGGCAGGTTGTATCCCACCACACAGGCTGCTCTGGCCTGAACCCTGAAGCCCATGCTTTGAAACACACAACAGCAGCATACGCAAGCTGTGCCACTGCTCCCGATATAACATTTCTCACTGAACAGGAGGGCTGCACTGAACTACTTCAGGTAGTTAACTGGGCAAAAACCATATTACCTTCTTCTCTTTGAACAGCTGGAGTATCATCATCTTTCTCCTGCTCTTTTATACACCCAGCTTTGCTTCACCTCTTACCAGCCACTCTAATACCCTTATTTCATACCTTCATTCTACCACATAACATCCACCTTGTCCTCAATGTAACTAGCTGACAGTTAGCAATAGGAAAGGGCATTTTCCATCAGGAAAGAGAGCAATGCTGTATGACTCCAACAATCTTGAATGCAGAATCAATACATTCTCCAAGACCCTGAATGCTTTGCAGCATTTCCAAGTCTCATAACAAATGAGAAGGGAAAAAAAAAGGTTACTGTGAATGCACAGAGCATCTTTCAAACAGAAGATTCTGTGAAAATACATTATTTTAAATAAAAACCTTCTCTCCAGGATGCTTCTCTTAGCCAGAACATGAGATGCTGAATTCAGTCTTAGCACAATGCAGAACAGGAGACCACATAAGGCCAGGTTTGCTAGAAGCAGGTTAAAAGTCTCAGTTAAAAGCAACCTCACACTGTGCACAGAGCTTGACCAGTAAGGGACTGTGTCATAACCAGGGCAGCAATCTCTGGCAGATCACAAAGATGCACATTTAGGAAAGCATTCAGATTTTGTACAGTCTCTAGAGGAAAATACAGTGTGGCTGTATATGAGGAGTACGATTCCCAGGCAAGACTTTGAAAGACCATCAGCAATGAGCAATTTGCCCCCAATAGTCATCACCATAACATTCAAAACATGTGCCAAGGGACAAGGATACAAGTAAAAAACTAACCAGTGCAGGAAAAAAGTGAAATAAAGATGTATGAAATTAAGCCCATCTCGTTTCCTCTATGATTCCTTCCAAGAGAGTGTTTGTTCCAGTTGCTACTTTATTAGTTGGTTATGCTAAAAATACTGTACAATGCCATGTGCATGGCATCTTCATGAGGATACGTGAATAATATCCACCAAAGATGAACTGATCTAAGGTAAAACATCCAAAAAAATAAGGAACAATATAACACAAATGAAGAAAATATATATTTTTTAATTTTACACATGGTAATATTATTTTTTGAGAGCTTGTTAAGAAATTGTTCCTGCTGTTCTATCAAAAATTGGAAGTTACCATAGATATTACTGGCACCCACAGGAAAGGGCAAGTTTAAACAGTAGAAAGATCTTAAGAACTCTCACATCTGTCGTTGAACCTCCCAGACACCGAGAACTTGCCCAGTGAAGAAAATATATATTTTTTAATTTTACACATGGTAATATTATTTTTTGAGAGCTTGTTAAGAAATTGTTCCTGCTGTTCTATCAAAAATTGGAAGTTACCATAGATATTACTGGCACCCACAGGAAAGAGCAAGTTTAAACAGTAGAAAGATCTTAAGAACTCTCACATCTGTCGTTGAACCTCCCAGACACCGAGAACTTGCCCAGAAGAGGGTGCTAGGGATAAATACTTCCTTGACTGCTTTTGTATAAAAAGATATATTAATATCTGACACCAGGAGGCAAAGACTCTACAGAGAGCAATGTCGTGTTACAGAGAGATTAAACTTTTCCGGAGGCGCTCCAGACACTGCTCTCTTCGACTGCCTCTTCGCACAAGTGCTCTAACTCCACAGCCAGTCCTACAAACAGATCTACTCCCTCCCCGCAGCCAAGTCACAGGAAGAAGCGCCACTAAGAACCTGAGCATGTTTCAGATACATGGAGCACACTTCATGGAAGTTATTTTTTCCAGTGAATTACTATGCCAGAGGAGTGATTGATACCCCAAATCCAAAGAACACTTAAGACACAATGGATACAATAAACGTAATGCAAAATGCAGTGTATGCAGTTCTCAGCTTTTCAACACTCTCAAAGCATTCAGTCAAGCTTTGAAGATAAATATTAAAAAGTTGTCCAATAAAAATAAAATTCATAAATGGAAACATTCCTGCAAGCTGCTTTCACATCATTCTTCATTGTACATGTCTGGCTTATCGTGCACTCCACAGACTGCGCAGCGCTTGGGTCACAACTCCTGCTAGAGCATTTTTTTCAAGATTCTGCACCTTTTGGCTCACATCAGGGCGAGATGCCAATGTAAACATTTTTATCTCTCACCAGCTCTGGCCTAAGTGTCTGAGACTCCACTTCTTTCCTCCAGTACTCCTTGAATGCCACTAGTCTCCCTTTGGCCAGCGCTGGACCCCGGGAACCCCCGTCTCAGGCAAACAATTTGCCTCTGGCGAAGCTTCCTCCCGGATGTTCCTCCAGGGATGACGGGGCCGGGTGCCCTGCGCCTCATCTAGCCGTGCCCCAAGGGTAGATGTGAACACTGAACACAGCCTCAAAAAGTTCAGTAGAGCTCTGCCACTCCCGGGGCATGCAGATTCTAGCAAAGGGTTTCAGTGCTCTTGACCTTCCTTGTCAACGAGTTAACACTCACTGCTTCTATGACCCTAACATAGTCTTCCCAGGCTCTCACACTACAGAAAAGTGCAAGCACTGAAGCAATTAGTAGAAAAAGCCCACCTCCCAGAAAAGCCCAAAGCACATGTTGCTAGACCCAAACTCATGCAACTATTCTTACAATTCATTACTATCACTGTTCTTAAAATTCAGTGGACTCATGACAGCAAAACCAATGCTGTCAAGGACCTATGACACTTCAGGCTTGACTATATTTTGATCATTCTTGGAAGATTCAGACTGTTGATCCCAGATAACCCAAAGGAAGCGAAGGAAGCTGTTACACCTGGATCGGGTCAGAACTCCTCCTGTGCTCGCTTTTCGCAGCCCTCTCCCATGCCACCAGTGGCTCACACGAGATGGAAGGCAGGGTAAGGGCCATTTACGAGTGACCTTCCAATGTATCTGGTACGGAAAAGCGTGTAAAGCATTTTAGGCTGACCCACTGCAGTCTGAACAGTTCTTTTGTTTCTCATATTTCCCTGCAGTGGAGTGATTCAGCAACTACATATTACTAATTTAAAAAAGAGAGGGGGGGAAAAAAAGAACAGTTTGAGAGCTCATCAATGTTTTAATCATAACATTTATATTGGTATATTAGCTAAGTGGAAGTGGGGATAAAGAGGAAATAAGCAGAAGCATCATCTTTTCCACTTCGCCCACACGTGCGCGATATACAAAACACGCCACCACACCCCCACATCCATCTGCCTCGCACCGAATCGGAGGTAAACACTCCTCCACCTTCCCAGCTACGCGAACAAGTACTTACTAGCCAAAGGCTGCTGTCAAAGACGAAACCTGGCAAAACAACACAGCGTTTCCCCCTTCTGCATGTGCTCAGATGTCTCCTCCTCCTCCTCTGCGTCTGGTCAATGATGTTCAGTATTTTAACTACTAGCTCCCCTCCTGCATGTGCTCAGATGTCTCCTCCTCTGCGTCTGGTTAATGATGTTCAGTATTTTAACTACTAGCTGTCAGTCATTTTGCCTCCTAAAATCCTGCTTTTATGCTTAATGAAAAATAAAACTCTACTCCACTCCCGAGTTCATAGCAAAATAGGTAGTACTGAGTTAAAAGAGAAGCACCCTGACAATTTTGCATGTATCATATCAACTAAAAATAAGAAAAATTTCTAGATCTTTTGAAAAACATATACAACAACTACCAAAGCCAGAAACTCAGCCATGGTTAAAATTAAAGGGAATGCTCGTGATGGCATATTCTGTCCTTAAAATAAGGACTTCAAAAGCACATGCTGTTTAGATGATGCAGACCGTATCGATGAAGTCATTACAGTCTGTGCTGCTGTTTTTTGTTTTTCCTTTTTTAAACACTGATAGATAATGTCCTGGGCTCAGGAAACCCCTGCATCACAGGTCACGGAGGCTGAGATAGTACTTGTAGAGATACCACTTCAGTGTTGCAATATTTTATTTCTCTCTAGACATTTAGTGGAAACAAACACCAGGCTAGATGGACCTTTGAGCCCATCTATTACGACATTGTTCTTAAATATCCACATCATTTCAAAAATTTAAAAGCTCAAATCTACGTGGAAGTTGCTGTTGCAGCTCACCTGATAGAGGAAAAACAACGCTAAAACACACTGTTCTAGGAATATGACTGAAACTATCAGATATACTTTCTGAACAGCATTTTATCAGCAGTAAAATTGACCAAATACCACAGAACAAGAGCTGTAAAAGGTTTAAAAATACTGATGGAACTTCATTAAAGAGTACATCTCATCATGTATCTGATGCACATTCTTTTGTTTTTATCTTTGAGTATGAACATCTATCATGGTTAAGTGCTAGGGGCTGGCTGTGCCTGAACAGGGTAGGTACAGCTCGAGAAACCAGCATATTCCTGCACGCGCACAACCTCCGTTCATCCACACTGCACAGGCTATTCTATGCTTTTACTGGTATCACTGCTTGGGTTAAGCCAAAGTTTTTCTTTTTGTTGTTACAAAAAGAAGTAGACCAGGAAGACTTGCATTT